TTATTATTATTATTATTATTATTATTATTATTATTATTATTATTATTGTTAATACCGTTATTAAAATGATCATCATTAATATCACTATTATTATAACTAAAACTATTATTATCATCAGATGATATACATGAACCAGTAGATGATGATGGATAAGACGTTGATGATGAACAATCATCTGTTGTACCTGTCGTACTATTAGTTTTTATAGATGATGATGATGTAGTTTTTGTTGTTGAAGATGAAGATAAACTAGATAAAGATAATGGATAAAATGATGATGACCTAAATGATTGTTGATCTTTTTTATTATAAGTCTATTTTAAATAAATAAAATATTTATTTAAAAACAAAAAAAAAACAATATTCTTATGAATTTCTTTTTGTTTTACTTGAAGGAAACAGACTAACATAAGAATAAGTGAATAACTACTAATACCATTAGTCCATACTTCATTGAGATTAAGTTGTAGTAAATACTCTTTTAAAACATAGACGAGATATTTTAAACATGGATAGACTTCCATATAATGCTGAAAAAAAGAAGAAAAATTAAAACTATTCGAAATTATTCATACATTACATAAGCAACTTTATCAGATATGTTTAACATCAGAGAATTTCATAGTCACAACAAATATTTAAATGTAATATTTTGGTATGGTCTGATTTCAGAGAGTACATATCACTTATATTCATATCACAAGAAATATTTTATTAATTTATTCTCATATAGAATGTGATTAACATTGTCCGAATGAGTTAACAATGAAATCTGTCTGTTCAATATTTGTGAAGATCATTTCTGTCAATCCATTTTTATTATCTTTACATATCTGAGTCGTTTCAGTCATATTTTGTTTTATTCTTTTTTTTTATTCTACATATATAGTGACAACACATTTATATTATATTTTACAAGTTTTCTTTGAAAACTTATTTCTTCTGTAGTTGGATATCGTATGAAAATATTCATTTTTGAAAAGTTTGACGGAAGGGTAAGCGAGGACCAACTATCTCAATCTGAAGTCATTTACACTATTATTAATTAATTTAATAATCAATAAATCTATAATATATTTTATAAATTATATTTAGTTCTTTGAGAACTTTTTTCTTATGTGTATTAAATCAATTTTTTCTGTAAGATTCAAATCCAATCTTTTCACAGGGGTCTCCAGTTTCTTTATATTTCAGAAATATCATTAGACTATAAATACAACAGTTATCATGTTTTTCAGTTTATTGAATAAATCAAAACGAAAATACATCTACTTATACAACGAAGGAAAATAAAGAAACAAATCTTTCGGATCTACAAATGATCCTAACCTAAATATTCGTTTCACCATAGCACAATTGCGTCGTGTTTCTTCTCTTGTAAAATCTTTTGTTACAGCTTTTAAATCATCAAGAGAGACTTGAAATTCCGCCAGACAAGGTATATATGTCTTTGTTTCATTAAGAAATTGTTCAACATAATCTCTATGTGCATATGCGACATCAAGTATAGTCAGATGGGGGTATTCAATAATTGATTGTAATTGACAATTGTCAGATGAAACTGTCATAAGACCATCTAATACTTGTGATTTCATATTAACAATACGTAAACACTTCAGTAATGGAAACGATCGGGCAATTCGAATAAAGAATTCATGTTTGAATGGATTAGTATCTTTTACAAGTAAACACGTAACATAACTGAATAGAATATTTGGAAATTTATTGCCAAGATGTTTGAGATAATCAAATTTAAAAGGAAGTGAGAAAATCGAGCATGCAGCTATCTCATCTTGAATATAATTGACTATACTTGTGACATGTTGTTGTCGAATATTTGTTAATGTTTGTTGAATATCTTCATTAGATAACTTGTAGGATAAATCAACCGTTTTTACATAAGTACAAATATAGAAAGTGAATGAATGAAGTTGTGGCATATAATCCAAAATATCATGTTGAACATAAGTACCATCAATCACTGTATTTCGACCTTTTATAGGAAGGTATAAAGCTAATTTTTCCAGATATAACATACGACGAAGAAGTGACACAATTTTATCATATTGTTGAAATCGAAAGAACGATTTTAATGAGAAAGATTTTAGATTAATTAATTTATCCTAGAAAAAGAAAGAAATATTTTTTTTGACGATCTGTAAGATAAAGTGATAGACATGATTATTTTACACATGGTGTATGATCTATATTCTATCTGTGAATGACCACAAATAACAAATCTATTAGTTTGATTTTCTCATTTTACAGCATACTAAACGAATGTTCAAAGAACAATTAAACGTTTCAGACAAACTTCCAAGTATATGTTAATTGTTGAAAAAATTTGTTATTATAGAAAAAGTTTCGTTTCATTCTATGCTGATGATCATTGACATATGATAATATCTAATCAATCATAAAAGAGAGCAGTCTACTTTTCAATGTAAAACTTATTCGATAAAATATTATATAATTATAATTTCTAGCAACAAATTTTATTGATTCTTTTATTAAATTCAAATTTCTAGTAAATACAAATTTAATATCGATGATTTTGATATGTTCATCAACACTTATCAGTTTTTTGTCCCCTTGTGAATATGAAACTTAACCATTCGATCTCTTATTTGAATTTTTTGAGATCAATCATTAACTGCATTAAAATAGTAATAATCTTTATGTCCGAAATAAAATTATTTATAAAAACTTACCATATTATGAACAACTGTTGAATACTCGTCTATAGAATAGATATTAACACATAATGTTGTCAATTTTCTAAGTCGACCATCAAGTAAACAAAGACAATCATCAAAAGTTTTCACATTGATATATAAATGAGTAAGAATCGAAGATGAAAAAGTAGTCGATGGGAAAGCACGAAGTAATAAACCTGGATACATGGATATAGAAGACGGTCCCATGATAGTTAATTCTTTTAAATTTTTGAAGAAGGTCAAGATATGACTATATACGTCTGTAGTATAATTTCTTAATGAAGGTGTTGTTATGTCTTTCTCTTTATTGATAAGACTAAGGTTTGTAATTTGTTCTTGGAAAAGAGATCGAAGTGATGATTCATCTAAAGAAGAAAAGAAAGAAATAAAACTTGTAATCTATTCTATCTAACACTTTTATTATTTCTCAACTAATCAAATTCATATTAAATGCTTACTTGTAAAATGTTTTAAAGCGATATATTGGTCGAAATCAAAAATTTTAAGTTCAGTTAGATTCGGATAGTCGATCGCACGTAGAATACATTTTATAAGAGTTGAATCAAGAATAAAACATTTCACATTACGATGAATTCTTGGTAATATATCGTAGTAGAATCGATCGATTAAAGAATAATTACGAATGGAGACAAACTTCAAAATGTTGGTGAAAGCGTTTTCTTGTACAAGAGCGTTAATTCGTTCATTATTAATATCCAATAACGAATATAGTACATCAACATTGTTCAACTTCTTCAAAATCATAAGTAATATTTCATCAGGCAAATCTAGAAGATGAACATTTGATCGGTTCATATTTTATTATGACTGTAATGCTTTTGACTAAGACAGAATTATATATAGATATTTGTTCATTGTTTGCATCTCACCACTTTGACCTCAAACAGACTGAAAAAAAAAGAAACAAAGTAGACAACACGATTGGTCTCTTCCGACTTCAATCATCTTTTTATTGGACGATTTATTCATTAATTCAGTCTTAATTCATTTTATTTGTTTCAGTCTATTTGGGCCTATTTCGCCATTGTCAAATTGAATAGGTCAACTTATTCACAAACGTAAAACATTGATGTATCGTCCAACTCGATTATAGTCATTCAATGCTGTGTGCATTTTTTGAAAGAAACTAAAGGATGACATTGAGAAGAAGAAAGGATAGATTTTTCTTATAGCAGAATCAGTTGAATTTCATTCGTATACTATTTCGGTTACATTCGAGATTTTACGAATTTGAAATCAAATCTGAAATTCTTGCGAAAAGACAGTTGTTTGGTCTCTCTCAGGTCTTTTAGTTACGAGGAAATTTCACTACATGTTATAATAGTAGAAATGTACAGGGTTGGAAAAAATATTTTGCTAGGGGGGTAACACTATAATTTCAAATAGTAGACATAATGAATTTTATATCAAATGAAAGCTTGTCAAAAATGGGATTTATTGATACCAAATAGTGAGGGTTATGAAAAC